GAATGCCTACAGTGCAGAAAGAGGCCATTTGGTCTATTGAGTCTGCACTGACTCTCTGAACAGCATCCCACCTAGTGCCATCCCTTCATGCTATCCCTCTAGCCTGTACACCACTGGACACTATGGGTAATTTAGAATGGCCAATCCACCTAACCTGCACATTTTTGGACACTGGGAGTAAACTGGAGCACTCGAGGAAACCCACACAGACAGTCACCAAAGGCTGGAATCAAACCTGGGTCTCTGGTACTGTGAGGCAGCAATGCTAACCACTGAGCCACCATGCCACTTGATGATCCAAAGCTTAGTCAAAGATGTAGATTTTAAGGAGATTGTCGAAAGAGGAGGTAGAGGCAGTGAGATACAAGAGGGAATTTTTTTTGAGAATTTAAGCCCCAGGCAACTGAAGACATGGCCATGAATGGAATAAATAAAAATCAGGGATGCTCAAGATGTTAGAACTGAAGACTGCAGATCAGAGGATTTTACAGAAGACTCACCAAGAATGCATTAGAATTGTTAAATGCTGAGGTAATAAAGAAATGGATGAAGGTTTCAGCAGATGAGCTGAGACAGGGCCAGATGTTACCAAAGTGGAAATGGATAGGCTTAACAATTGTATAGATGCATGGTCAGAAGTGTATCTTGAGGCAAAACAGAACACCAAAGATTGCAAACAGTCCAGTTCAGCTTCAGATAATTGCCAAGAAGAATGCAGACTGTGGTTCAGGAACAGAGTTTGTGGCAAGGACCAATAGGAAAGGGTCAGAATTTAATGAGTGTGACGGGGATCTCACCTAAGAGTTACAGAATCAGTGGGAATACTATGCTACTTCTCCCTAACAAGCTCATTGCAATCATTCGGTAAACAGACACTCACTTGGAGCCTGTAAAGCCTCCCACTGAAGCGACACACGAGCAGGATGAAAATCCTGGGTGAGAGTGCTGCTGGTCACAGGTCATGAATCTTCATGCAGAACTGAATCTAAGTGAAATGACGGTCACTGGAAATCAACAACAGTGGCAGGAACAAGCAGAGTTCTCCTTTCCCAGTAAGCAGGCTGACAGCAGACCAGAGTAGCCGCTGATAGGCCACTGGCAAATTGATAAGGTTTGTAATCCCCGGGAGGCGAGCCAGCCCTTAAACGGCTACTCAAGGCATCGAGTGACCTCCAGGTGCTCACAAGCCACTTCCCCCAGACTCAAATGGAGGGTGGCAGGAAAGTAGGCTCATCTCTGCTCTGTACCTTCCCACCTCAAAAAATGCCACTACCCACCCCCAGCTCCAAATTTACTTTTCAATGGCTTTGTTCCTCCCAATGTGTACATGAAAGAAATTTCAGATCACCTCATATTAAATGTTAGACAAGTTGTCTTGATGATTCATTGACAACAGAAGTGTCAAGGTTAGTGGTGATAACGGTAACCTGTGTATGTCAGAAAATTGATGTGCGTATTTGAATAGTGTTGCCAAAGGCTGACTTATTAATAGCATCAAACCTATATGAACAGCCTTTGCATTCTAACTGGGCACAGTTTAATGAATTATATCTTATTTACGAAATAACATGCACACCACAAGGTTCAATATTTCCCAGAAATAGCCATGAATGAATAGCAAAATGCTCTACTTGATGTAGGATACACATTGTCAAGGAAACCTAGCTATTTCTTTTGCTTTTTTTTGAATAGTGCTGTATACACAGAAAAACATGAAATGGTGGTATACTTGACAAAATTGCCAGCTTCACATGAAGACTATAATTAAGCCTGATGCTGTGACAGTGTACATAATACACTTTCCAAACAGTTCTTAGGGATTCTAGCCCTTGTCCACTCTCAGAATTGACCATGCACAGGGAACAAGAGATCACTCTCACCATAGGTTTGGAACACAGGCACAGGGAGTTATCACACTGGCTACCACATGAGAAGTTACATCTTCACCCGACACCCTCCCCACCCCCCCCAATCCCGAGTTTCTGATCCCCACTCTGGTGTGAACAGGGGTTACAGCATTGCAAATATCATTCAGAGAAGATGCAAATGTACAATCCTTTAATCTCCTGGTTGAGTTGAGGAGTGACGACCTGGGTAAGAAAAGTGCCTATGTCTCTGTGGGTTGAAGAGACTGAGAGGAAAGAATGGATATTGTGTGGAAGATTCAGCTTTATGGGAATCATCCAAATAAATGGATGAGTAAAGATTTGATCTCATATTTTAAAATGTCATTGGGAACTGGACAAGAAAGGTCAGTTGTTCTGTTTTCAAAGGTGTAATAATGGATTAGATCAGGAGGATTCAGCTTCTGTCAGGTATTTTTTAAACTGAAAACACAGCTGAATTGCAACGAATCAGTTTGTAAGTTTTCTTTCTTTGAGATGGGAACAGCATGATATTATTCACCAGTTCATCAGGTACAGTTGTGCTATTCAGATCCTTGTGGATCAATAATTTTATCGTCCTAAATCTTTGTCAGTGACATTGTTCATTCTACTCAAGTCTGAATACTAGTAAATGTTCAAGCGTTACACATGGGACGTTTTACAACCGCTGCATCGAATTCAAAAGACGATACCTTGACACTGCAGCATTCCCGCCAAACTGTCAGTGGGGATTCTCTCTTTAAATCTATGGAGTTTGCCTTCAATCCATAACCCTGTGACTCAAAGGCAGAAATACGACCACTAAGCCAAGGCTGACTCAAATGGCATAAACTATAAAATAATACTTGTTTTGTATTAATTGTGAAAATATGTCTAATAGAGGCTCTTCTTGTTTCATTGAGTGACACAGGCAGCCCTAGAATCTCTCATATTATCAAGCCATAATTTTAAAAGGACCACTGGTCTGAATGATATTCTCTGAACTCTTGCGCCATGCAGTTAGATCATATGTCATAATGAGGCTGTAATATGTACAATGTATGGGAAATACTGCAGGTACATGTTTGAGAAAAGCCATATGCCTGAATGAAATTATGAAAAGGCTCCAAAAAAAAAGTGTGACTGCGTTATGGAGGCCTTATTAAGTTCTCTAAAATGTATGCATATGGAGAGAAATGAATACAGTAAGTGGGTCAGTCAGCATCTGTGGAGACAGAAAGAGAGTTATGTTGAGTTAAATAAGAATCTTCAGAACACCTCTTAACTGTACCACTGTCCCTTACTCCACACAGACATGACCACACTGAGTATTTGCAGGACTCTTTTGTTTTTCTTTTGTTTTACAATATAAACAGTTTTAATTTCCTAAACAATTATCTTAATCCTTTTGTTTTGGCAGCATGTTCTTAAAAATAACTTCTGGTACATATAGTCAGGGTGACATTCAAAACTCAAAAGTCTGAAATGGTTTCAAAACTGCTATTGAGATGGTTAACAAACATATTCATCTCTCCCCTCAATTTGGGAATCTTATAAAAATATTGTTAAGGCAATTAAACTATATGATGGTCAAATTCATGGATTTGAAAAATACAATTGTATTTCCAGCTAGTGCTTTGCTTTATTGGAATCAAACCAACTCAGCAGATTGAAAAGACTGAAAAAGGAAAATCAGAACCGAGAATATATATCTCAGCAGGAAAGGTTGAACGGGCTGGAGGTTTTTCTAGAAAAGAGAGAGAGAGAAGTACCCTGACAGATTTTTTTTTTTAAATTTAATGCAAGTGTTCAATCAGGTAGATGTAAAAGAAAATATTCAACTTATAGGGGAGTCCAAAATTATATATCAAAAATATGAGAATCACAAATAAATTTATTACAGATTTCAAGAGAAATTATTTAGCCTTTGATTTGCTCACTATCACGAACAGCAGTTGAACAATAAATCAAATCAAATCAACATTTAAAGGTAAGCCAGATAAGAAAATGAGAAAGAAAGAAAAAGTAGGGTATGATAACAGAGAGTTAGATAGAACTAGGAAGGAGGATTTTCACATGCAGCATATGCACCAGAATATACTGTTTGGACCAAATGTTCTAGTTCTGCCAGGAACACTTTATGGAACTTCATAAATGACAAAGGCTACAGTAAGTAATTTGCAGACCTTTAGGACGTCTCTCCACTTTGGTATTGCTTATGGTAAGGACAGCTAAATCAGAGTTGCTGTTATCACTGAAACCTTTTCAAGATTGAGAAATGGCTTAGCAATGATGACAAGTAAAAATGGGCAATGTCTGGGGTAGATATCTGAAGTGTTCACTGGTTTTACAGCCTGATTCATCTCAAAAGTAGTCAAAAGATGGAGGAATTTCAAGCACAAAGTACTCCATCACCAATCAAGTTTCTGTGATCTCTTGTGCTAGTATAAAAATAAACTGCAAAAGTGATTGAGCTGCCCACAAAAATGACTACATCCCTGGATTGAATAATCACCAGTGACTTTCCATTAATTCCAAGTCTTCTCGTGTGGCTACTAAAATTAGTTGTTTACTTTGTTTTAGGTACAACGATATCAAGATGTACATTTTGAAACATTTCACACATATACCTCTTAGCTTACCCAGAAACTGACTACTGTACATCAATGTAATAGATAAATGTTTCTACATTCTAACATGCTGCCCAAACGCATTGATTTGTGGAAGTTTTTGGGTTCAGTGATAAGTCAATGGGTTTGAGCAGAAACTGGAGGAAAAAAAAGCTTAATGTAAATGAATTTGTACCTGGTCCCACTGTGTCAAACTTGGAAGCTCTTGGCCCCAAGGTTTTGCTGAATTACTTTAGTGATAAATGAAGTTCACATAAATGTGACAGAGCTTACGTTAGAACAGACTGTGCACAGAATCAAAAGTTAGATGCACTTCCATTCATGTAAATAAGACATTGATTTTTAAGTCTATTAAAAAAGGTAATAAAGTTATAAACACAGCACAAGTCACTGCCTTTTATCTTAAATTCTAAAGGAAATTGTAATTAAAAAAATTAGTAGAACATCAATAATGACAAAATAGTACTTTTCAAGTTTTAAAGTTGCTAAAACTTATGTCACGCACCTGCCACTTGTCTATGTGATCTGAGGCCAAGTCCAAGTCCAGATCCAAGTAGCAAAATTAACAGAAACAAAATCAGCACCTACATAGAAGAAATACACATGACAAACTTGCACATGTTCATTTGAATACAGCCATTTAATTTTTACAATACTTTAGGATAAAGAAACATTTATTCACTGGAAGGTTCATGACCCAATGCACAATGAGTTGGCTGAAAACATGTCAGGCCCTATCACTGAAGGTAAACGTTATACTCAATATTTGTTAAAATGTGTAAGTTAGATATCATCAGAATTTCCCATGATATTCCTATACTCCAAGGAGAATACACTGCCTATGTCTCCATTAACTATCTAAAATCACTTGCTGACACTAACAACACACGAGATAATTTATCATGTTATTTGCTGTTTGCACCGTGTCTTGTTGGTCTATGTCTGTACACGTTTTTATAAATCTTGCTACATGTCTGAATGCTTGGGATTTTATTTTTTTAGGTATCCCCCACTTAACTCATTCATGGAGCTCATTCCATTGCTTTGCTCAATAAAAGGCTAAAGTATTCTGAGAGTTCTTTCAATACATTAAAAACAATTGTTGTCTCATTTTGAAGACATAAATATATATTTTCAGTTGCAGTATTCTTCCTTGGCTGGCAAAAGTTCTCAAAATAAACCTTTAGATTCTACTTTTATCTTTAATTGTTCCAGCTAATATACAAATTACAAATGATTACTTTTTCTGAATGTTCCATTCCAGGCCTTCAATGTTAGTGAGGCCACTTTTGGAGTACTACATACAGTTCTGGTCGTCCTGCCACAGGAAATATGTTATTAAATCGGAAGGGTGCAGAAAAGATTTACAAGGACGGGACTAGTTTAGTTAGGGAAACCTGGTCAGCGTGGAGTTGGGCCAATGGTCTGTTTCTGTGCCATATGATTCAAATGACTCTAGTTATTTTTTCAACTACAGTACAAATAAAAAACATAAATTATCATTTTGCTCCTTTTTAAAAAGAAAGGTTTTGTTGGTTCGATGCAATGAGGTTCATTTGCATATAAGTGTTATTCTTAAAACTGAAACTGTTCAAAAAACACTGTTACCAGATAATTAATTTATCTGTTATGTCACACATTGCATTCCCAAAAGATTTGATCCCCAGCCTTCACTGTGTAGAACTACTACACCAAAGATATGAGTATTTAACTTGAATTTTAATTAGTTATGAGAATATTTGAGACATCCAATCAGGACTGCCTGTTTACGAATGACAGTTATTAATTATTTTTGGAATTCACCTTGGTTGAATATTAATCAACATTCTCAAGAATTTGTTCCTGATAGTTACAGAAGACCAAAACAACTATATTGGAATTGTACACTTCATGGGATTTGCCCTGATTGCCATTATTGGCAAATCTTGGTATCTGCCACTTTTGCTAGGTTGCGGCACTGAGTGAGGGTTATTCAAGATAATTCACTCTCACCAAACTCCTTTGTCTATACTGTGCATAGGGCTTATCTGATTATCAGCAATAGAGAATGGACACTGCAGAGACACGTCTTAGTTAACAAGATGGTTTATTGTAAGAGACCAGTAGGCAAAAATATATGTTTGCCAAAGTCTTACCAGATTAGAGGGCTTCTCTCTCATTAGATTCTGCCATTCACTGTACAATTTCCACTTGTACTTGACCTTCCAAAATGCATCACCTCACATTTGTCTGGATTAAATGCCATCTGCCATTTTTCTGCCCAAGCCTCCAGCTGATCTATATCCTGTTGTAAGCTCTGACTATCAACCTCACTATCCACAACTCCACCAATCTTTGTATTGTGTGCAAACTTACCAATTAGACCAGCTACGTTTTCCTCCAAATTATTTATGTAGACCATGAACAGCAGAGGTCCCAGCACTGATCCCTGTGAAAACACCACTAGTCACAACTCTCCATTTTGAAAAGCATCCTTCCACCGCTACCCTCTATCTCCTATGACTAAACCAGGTCTGTATCCATCTTGCCAGCGCACTCCTGACACCATGTGACCTCACCTTTTGTACCAGTCTGCTGTGAGGGACCTTGTCAAAGGCCTTATTGAACTCCATGTGGACGACATCAACCACTTTTTCCTTATCATCCTTGGCACCTCTTCAAGAAACTAAATCAAGTTAGTGAGTCATAACCCTCCCCCAACACTAAACCATGCTGTTGATCGATAATAGGTTCATTTGCTTCTAAATGCATATAGAACTTGTCCCTGAGAATCTTTTCCAATAATTTCCCTATCACCAACATGAGACTCACAGGCCTGTAATTTCCTGGATTATCTGTGCTACCCTTTTTAAACAATGGGACAACATTGGCTATTCTCCAGGCCTCTGGGACCTCACCTGTGGCCAAAGAGAATAAAAAGAAGTCTGTCAATGCTCCAGCAATTTGTTCTCTTGCCACCCTCAATATTCTGTATCCTCAGGTGAAGGTGTTAAATTGAGGGAAGGCGAACTACAACGATATTGTCCACGTGTAGTGAGACAAGTCAGGATTGGTCATGTCTCTTGGTGGCTAGTTGGTGCTCGTGTATCTGTATTGTCAGTTTTCTTCCAGTTTGGCCATTGTAGTGTTTCTCACAGTCCTTGCATAGTATTTTGAATATTACTCTAGTTCTGGGTATGCGATCAGTAGCTGTTGTAGGGTGGTTGTTGGTTCATGGTCTACCTCGATACCTAGGGGTCTGAGTAGTCTTGTGGTCATCTCTGAAATGTTCTTAATGTATGGTTGGGTGACTACAGAGTCTGGTCGTGTTGTGTCTTCCAGTTATGGTCTGTCTGGAGGTAACGGCGGATTGTGCTTTTCGAGTATCTATTCCTTTTGAAGACTCCGTATAAGTGTTCCTGTTCCGCTTTGTGTAGTTCCGGATTGCTGCAATGCGTTGTGGCTCATTTAAATAGTGTCCTGATGCAGCTCTGTTTGTGGATGTTGGGGTGGTTGCTGGTGTAATTGAGTATCTGGTCTGTATATATGGTCTTTCTATATACACTGGTCTGGAGTTCCCCGTTGTTTTTGCGTTCTACCGTTATGTCCAGAAAAGGTAGTCAGTTGTTGTTCTCTTCTTTTGTGAATTTTATCCCAGTTAGGATGTTGTTTCTGTGTCGATGGGTTTCTTCTAGTTTTGTGCATTTGATAATCACGAAGGTGTCATCTACATATTGGACCCAAAGTTTGAGTTGTATAGTGGGGAGCGCTGCCCGTTCTAACTTTTGCATTACTGTTTCTGCAATCAGCCCTGATATTGGGAATTCCATTGGGGTTCCATTGATTTGTTTGTATATGCTGTCGTTGAAGGTGAAGTGGGTTGTGGGGCACAGATCTAGTAGTTTCATGATGGTGTCCTTATTGATGTTGTTGGTGTCCTGGGTCGTCTGCTTACTTGATTTGTCCAGTAGTATAGCAATTGTCTCTTTGGCTAGGTCGATGTTTATGGATGTAAATAGTGCTGTTACATTGAAGGATATCATCATCTCATTCTCTTCTATCCTGGTGTCCTTAATGATGTTAAGGAATTCTCAGGATGAGTGGATGGAGTGGGTAGAGTAGACAGAGTGGACTACTGAAAACTGACAATAAGGATACACGAACACCAACTAGCCACCCAGAGAAACGACCAATTCTCACTTGTCTCACTACACACAGACATTGAGGGACACGATTTCGACTGGGACAAAACGTCGATAATCGCACAAGCCGAACAGAGATACGTCAGGGAATTGATGGAGGCCTGGTATTCCAACCAGAACTCCATCAACAAACACACTGAATTAGACCCCATGTACAAACCACTGAGAAACAGAACCGGAAGTAATACCAATCACCCCAGCAAACCAAGGCATATAAATAACAAGTGGGACAGAACACCAATGCTTCACTGACGACGTTACCGAGCAGGGTGACAGAACGTTTGCAATCAAACCCACCGGCTCGGCGAGCATGTCTACAACCTCATCCACAGTGTGAGCTACAAATCTTCTCAAACACTTTAAACACCTGAAACACCTAAATCCTGGGACATTCAGCTACCAGTCCTATCCTTCTTTCAGCCAAGTCTCCATAATCGCAATAATATCATAGTTCCAAGTACTAACCAAAGCCCTAAGTGCATCTGCCTTGCCTATTATACATTCTGCATTGAAACACATGCATTTCCAACCACCTTTTCAGCAGAGTTTCTTTGCTTGTTCTTGTTTGCCTTGGTTTCTACCTCTCCCTTAATTTCTGCATCTACTGCCCTACTCCTCTGGTTCTCATCCCCCGCCACACTAATTTAAACCCTCCCCAATCACTCTACCAAGGACATCAGGTCCTGGTCCTGCCCAGGTATAACCCGTCCAGTTTGACCATGTCCCACCTCCCAGAACCAGTCCCAAAGCCTCACAAACCTGAAACCCTCCCCCTCACATCATTTTTTCCGTCACGTGTTCATCCTAAATATCCTACTGTTTCTACTCTGACTAGCTCATGGCAGTGGTAGTAATCCTGAGATAAATACCTTTGAGGTCCTACATTTCAAGAGACTGCAGAATGCTGCACTATAGAAGGACCTTGGTTCCCTTGCACGTGAACCACAAAAATTCAGCTTGCAGGTACAAAAATTAATAAGAAAGGTGTTGTTATACAAAATAATGTTAGCATTGAATAAATCGGATCCTAGAAAAAAAATGATTTGAAAGATTCATTTTCTAATTTAATGTGGTGAGCTTTCACTGAAACGAACACAAAAGGCTCCAGGTTTGGTTTTCACAATAAAATAGAGGTTTATTACACGCAAGTAATAAAAATAAAGTAAAGCAAGCTAAACATAACAAGTTTGAAAGATTTAAAAAGAAGCAAACTGAGAGCCCACCTACTGCCAGGCACCAGCGACTCAAAAAAACAAAGAAATTTCCCCACCCCATCAAATCTGTTGACTTAAAATGCTTGTTTCTCTGTTGATGTCCTGTGAGCTATGAAGCTTTCTTTTTGAACACAGCCAAGGTCCTAGACTTTCTCAGCTTTGAATAACCAATGCAGATTTCCAACTAAA